TTGGTGAATTTTTGCCCTCAGGTGTAAGTGGTCTTGCATTAAGGTCTTTTGACCCATTTAAGATAATTCAGAGATAAAACCTGGAGTTAACAGGCTCTAAGTTGAACATGAGTGAATATATTGAGTGGGCTTATGATGCAAGCAGTGGGCGCGGCCTGGCTTGACCACATGCCTAGTGCGTGAGCCCAGGAGACAGAGGGAACGGTGAGCCAATGTGAGGGTCACACCTCCACTGGTCACACCTAACTCCTTGGTCACACCTCCACCAGCAAGCAAGGCACTAATAATACACAGCCCACTCCATCCTGCAATGCGGAAGACCTGGGTTTGATCCCTGGGTGGAGAAGATCCCCTGGAGAAGGAAATGAGGAAATGGCAACCCACTCCAGTACTCTTGCCTGGAAAATCCCAAGGATGGAGGAGCCTGGTAGGCTACAGTCTATGGGGTCGCTATGAGTTGGACACGCTGAGCGACTTCTCTCTCACTCCAATTAATGTCCTAATTCTTCATTGATGTGCCATACTCCAAGCCAACCTTCCCCATTTCCCATGCTGAGGGTTTTTACCTTTTATGCTGTAAGGTCTTAATTAACTATATCCTTCACTCAGTAACATTTGTACTGTTAACTGTATTTCACGTTCGCTGAAAGGATAACCTGAAAACTTAAATTTCTCATCACGTCAAACTCACCATTGTATTTGACCTCAATGAAAGGCCACCTCTGTGACAAGGTGATGGTTAAGATGCACCCCCAAGTTAAGAAATATAAAAAAATACTTCATCTGAGAAAACTGGTAAGGCTTACACACATCAGTTCTTTATTGAAGAGGTTGTCCAGACCTATTTATATGTTCCAGACCCATTTACATATGCCAAAGGGGAGCATGACAATGTATGTAATAGCCCTGTTCCTTTCCAAATATTGACTGAAAATATACATTATACTAACCTTTAAGGTCACAATGTAGGAAATCTTAGTAGTGGCCCTTAAAACTAAGAGTATTTCCTGCACAGTTATGCAAAATCTACCATTTAGTTCCTGTTATGCAGCATATTCATGTACATCTAGAAAAATATGGCTAAAGGGCTGAGCAACAAAAATGGTAGACATCTTTGATTTTTAAAAACGTTTTATGGAAGTGTAATATACATGCAGAAAAACACACATATCTTGAGTGCACTGAACACTCAGATAGCCAGCACCCAGATTTAGAAACCAATTATCACCAGCACCAGATAAATACTCGTCATAAGTCTTTGCTGAAGCTGTTATCCTGATTTCTAACTGCATAGACAAGTTTTGCCTGTTCTTATACTTTGTATGGGTGGGATCATAGTCTGTTTGCTTTTGTGTCTGGATTTCTTCACTCAGCATTAGATGTGAAACTGTTATTACCTGTGCTTATTGTTCACTCATCCTCCCTGCTCCCTGGAGAAGGGAAACGCTACCCACTCCAGTATTCTGGCCTGGAGAATTACATGGACTGTACAGTCCATGGGGTCACAAAGAGTTGGACATGACTGACCGACTTTCATTTTTCTCTGCTTTATAGCATTCTCTGGTGGAAACACCACTGACATTTAAGGTTCTATTGCACAGGTGCCTTCAGAGTTGTTTTTCACAGTTTTATGCCATGAACATTCCAGGACACGTCCTTTGGTGGACATCTACATGTACAATGGACACGTGCATGCATGACTGCTAGGCTTGGGTTAAAAGGGTAGACACACAGGTTTGGCTCCAAGTGCCAGCTTTTCCAAATGGTTCTATCAGTGGGCTACAGCACCAGCAGTGTAGATGGGTTTCTGTTACATCCTTGCCAGAGCTTGATGCTTTTTTATGCTTTTCATTTTAACCACTTCAGAGGTGGGCAGCAGTGCCACATGGGGTTTTAAATCTGCCTTCTCCAGATTAGGAATTACCTGGTGACCCAGACGGTAGAGTCTGCCTGCAATGCGGGAGAACCAGGTTCAATCCCTGGGTCAGGAACATCCCCTGAAGAAGGAAATGGCAACCCACTCCAGTATTCTTGCCTGAAAAATCTCATGGGTGGAGAAGCCTGGCAGGCTTCATTCAGTCCATGGGATTGCAGAGTCGGACACAACTGAAGCGACTTCACTTCACTTCTCCAGATTACTAGGAGAAGTAACATACCTTTTCATGTGTTTATCTGCAGTGCAGATAGTCTCTTTTGTGATGTCCAAGTCTTTCACCCATTTCTTTTTTCTTGTAGATCTGTAGGAGTTCTTTTAATTTTAGATCAGGGGTCAGTAACTACAGCCTGCTGGCCAAATCCAGACCTCCACCAGTGTCTGCAAATGGTCTTACTGGGACATCTCTGTTCAATGTTGAGCAGTCGTAAAGGAAACTGTGTAGCCTGCCAAGTCCCAAATACGATCTGGTCGTCTACCATGCATTCTTCTACACTAGACTCTGCTGCCAGGTGTCTGAATTGCAAAGTTGACTATTTTACATTTCATACTGAAATCTGTGACTCCATTTCAATTGGTCTATTTTCTATTAAATTATAAAATTTAATCAAAAAACCATTTATTGGAAACAATAGCCTTCCCCACATTACAACACATTATCACCTTTGCCAAAAGTGACTGAATTATGTACAGGTTTTCTGGAATCTCTACTATAATTTCACTGATCAATTTGTTTACCATTGTGCCAACACCACAGGATAATTCCTATCGCTTTCTAACAGGTCTTGATATCTGGCACTGTAAGTCCTCTACTTCTATCTGTTCTAGAAGATAGCTTTGACTGTTACTGGTCTTTAAATTTTTCACATGAATTTGAGAATTCATTTCCATTAAAAAAATGCTAGCATTTTAGGATTGCATTGAATATATGAATTAATTTGGGGAAAACTGACATCTTTTTGACACACCATTGACCAGGGGATTTTTGCAGAAACTAATGCCTCTGGCATTAATGAGTCTCTAGTCAATAATGTGTTAAGACTGTCCTGGAAACAATTAACAGGTTATATCACACTGAATCTTCTGGAGTTTTTCTGGACCCAATTCTTGAAAACACAGTGTTAGATAATTTCCCCCCCTCAGGCACTTAAGGGTTTCTGTTATTACTGTAAGTGGTATTGCTTCAAACTTTTCACTTTATGTTTGTAACTTTTCACTTTATGTTTGTAGCTGGTATACTAAAAACCAGTTTTTGCATAATGACCTTGTATGCAGGGATTCCGCTCAGTTTACTCAATTTTAATTATCTGAATACTCCCTAGGACGTTCCACTTACCAAAGCATGTCACCTGCGAGCAGGTTTACTTGTGACCCCAGGTCTCTCCATTCTTTTGCTTCCCTTGCTAGGTCCTTCTGCACAATGCTGAATAAAGCTAGGGGCAGCGGATTCCACTGTTTTTTCTCTTGGGAGAAAAGTTCCAATATTTCACCATTCAATATGCTGTTTGTTGTAGCAGAAGATATTCTTTATCCAATAAAGGAGGTTCTTTTCTATATGTGGTTTGTTAAGAACACAAATGGATGCTAATTCCACGAGTCTCCTGCATAATAGATTACTTTTCTTCGATGTGATAGATTATAGTGATTTTTTAAATTATTATTAATGTATCCTCACACTCCTGGAGTAAGACCCATTTGACCACTCTTTTGTTATCTTTTTTCCAGAACTGTCTCTGTTATGTTAGCCCAGGATTCAGTCATGTGACCACTATAAACAAGTTACCAATAATCAGAATGAAATTATCATGATTGGTTTAGGTCACTCAGGATTCACCCTCTGTGTTATGTGAAGTAATAGGAGATACCTAACTTCTTCCAGTGAGTAAAGAGGGTAGAAGGGACACTGCATTAATCAACCAAAAATGACTGCTAGAAATATTGCATCAATTTGTTTTCAAAATTCTGGAATAAGCGTCAGTACACAAAGTAATGACACCAGATTCATACCAAATAAAGCACAGGGAGAATTTCTGGATTACATCATAGTGGCAAACTGCACACTCAAACCTGTGGGTTAAAAAACAAGACTGGCAGGAGACAGGGGTGTATTTTATAGTGTGAGCAGTATAGCTGTCCTTCACTGAAAGACTAGATTCCAAGTGATCTATGCATGGTTTATGAAAATAGTATTTTAAAGTTTTTTTGCTCCAGTGCAGTTGGAAGCTGTACAAAAGTCACTGGCTCCTTTGTTGATGAAGTACTCATTAAAAGGCCATTTGAAAATGCCTCAAAAGAGTAGAAAATTATGAATTTTAACTATTTGGTACCTGTCAAACACCTCAACAACAATATGCTTACATTAGTACATTTTGCCAGCTTAATACTCAAATAAGAATACTGCCTTTTCACAAATTATTTAAATCCAAACTTGCATAGAATTAATGTTAATCACATTTTGGAAATGTGATAGAAACTGCCATGTACATATTTAATGCTAGAGTCCTCATTATCAACTCCAGAAGATTTTAAAACTTCATTTTCTGCAATGGTTTATTCAGAGCTGATAGCTTCTGATACTGTTCCTATAAACATTAGATTTTATGTCAGAAATATGGCTTTTAGTATAACAACTGCCAAGACAATGTATTTTCCACATTCATTGCTTCAACAGATTTTGCCTCGGTATGATTCCCTGATATGTAAATACTACTGGAATCCAAAATAAATATTAAATATTTATAGAGTTTTACTCTTGTATAAACTGTCTAGTTGTCCAATGAGTTGCTGAAAGCCTTGCTTCTTGTGTTTTTAGGGATTGGTCTTTTGTGAAAATTCAGGTTAGAATCAACCCAATGCCTAAACGCTTTTCCTTATTCAGAAACAGGAACTCTCAGACAGTGGTATCTGACTCTCAGCTGGACTTCCCGCACCCATTATGTGCAGAGGGTTTTCTAGAATGAGAACTGACTTCAGAGGAGACTTCCCATGTCAAGTAAATCCAAGTTCCCTCTCCTATGAATTCTCTGATGGCTGTTGAAGGCCGACCTGTGGTGGAATTTTTTCCCACACTCATTACATTCATACGGCTTCTCTCCTGAATGAGTCCTGTAATGCACAGTGAGGTATGACTTCTGAGAGAAGACTTTCCCACATTCATTACATTCATAGGGCTTCTCTCCCGAATGGCTTCTGTAGTGCACAGTGAGGTTTGACATCCGAGAGAAGACTTTCCCGCACTTGCTACATTCATAGGGTTTCTCTCCCGAGTGGATCCTGTGATGTATTGTTAGATAAGACTTCTGAGAGAAGAACTTCCCACACTCGTAACACTCATAAGGCTTCTCTCCTGTGTGGACTCTCTGGTGTCGGAAGAGGGATGAGTTATGGGAGAAGGTTTTCCCACACTCGTTACACCCATAGGGTTTCTCTTCCGAATGACTCCTATAATGTATGGTGTAGAATGACAGCTCAGAGAACACCTTCCCGCATATGTTACATTCATACGACTTCTCCCCTGTGGGAAGTGGCTGGTGCCCATCGAAGGCTGAGTTTTCAAGAAAGGTTTTCCCACACTCACTACATTCATAGGGCTTCTCTCCTAGATGAGTTGTGTGAAGGCTGGTGAGGAGTGAGAGCTTCCCGCACTCACTGCATTCGTGGGGCTTCTCATCTGTGTGTACTTTCCGATGTCTGATAAAGGCTGAGTTGAGGTTGAAGGTTTTTCCGCATTCATTACATTCATAGGGCTTCTCTTCTAAGTGACTCCTGTAATGGATAGTGAGGTATGATACCCGAGAGAAGAACTTCCCACACTCACTGCACTGGTAGGGCTTCTCTCCTGTGTGTGTTCTCTGATGTGTGATGAGGGTGGATTTCCGGTAGTAGGATTTCCCACATTCATTGCATTTGTAAAGCTTCTCTCCCGTGTGGGTTCTCTGGTGGTCACTAAGAGCTGACTTACGGGAGAAGGATTTCCCGCATTCACTACATGGGTAGGGTCTTTCTCCTGAATGGTTTCTCTGGTGTAGGGTGAGATGTGTCTTTTGGCAGAAGGTTTTCCCACACTCATTACATTCATAGGGCTTCTCTCCTGAATGAGTCCTCAGGTGCTGTGTGAGGTGCAACTTTTGACAGAAGGTTTTCCCACACTCATTGCATTTATACGGCTTCTCCTCTAAATGTGATCTCCGATGCACAGTGAGAGTTCCTTTTTGGCTGAAGGATTTCCCACATACGTTACATGCATAAGGTTTCTCTCCTGTGTGAGCCCTCTGATGTATAATGAATTTTGACTTTTTGCAGAAGGATTTTCCACACTCACTGCATTCAAAGGGCTTCAAGTCCATCTGCGATCTCTGGTATATGTTAAAATTTGACATCTCGATGAAGTCTGATCCAGAATCATTCCATTCATAGCGTTTCTCCCCCATATAAGTGCTCTTATGAGTAATGAAAACGGCTTCATTGTCTAAGGCTTCTGTGCATCTATTATATTCAAAGGGTTTCTCCAAAATACTAATTTTCTGAATACTTTCTTCATTTTGAGAACAGGCTTCCCCATTTTGATGAAATTCATAGAGTTTCTCTCCATATGTTTTCCCACATTCACTACACTCATCAGGTTTCTTTCTTGCATAGCTTCCATCACTAATAATTAATTCTGAAGTAGATTCCAAAGTCTTCCCACATGAGACACAATTATGAGACATTAGATTTGAAGGAGCAAGACTTGTTTCCATGTTATATGTTTTATCAAATGCATCCTCTCTCTCCTCGGTCAGGGTTCTGCTGTTGATTGATACAGCTTGCCTTGAACATTCATCCTCATTTTCTTGGATTCTCTCTATCAGGTCACCAACTTTCCAGACTTTTTCTAAAAAAGAATGAAATTAAACAAATCTTGTGAATCTGAACACACCAAATTATAGGATGAGAACAGTACTCAAGGGCCTACTGCAGGCTTGACTCTAGCTTTAGGGTCAATCTCCACACATAAAACTAAGTGACCACTTACAAACATCACATCCCACCACCTCACCTGGATGCTGCTGCTGTAGGAACTTGCTGTCTACTACCCATGGCTCTTCTCCTTGCTCCAACTTGATGATCACGTTGGGTTTGGTGCTGTCATACCCTGTGAATGAGAAAGAGCCAACATGGATCAGCTGCTGGGTTCTGGGTCCCTAAACAGAAGCTGCTGCCTCAGGAGCTGCAGAATAAAGTGTCTATTTTTGCACTTAATCAAACTAGAGCCATTCAATGGATAAGCAAAGATATAAATTACTCTACCTGATGCCCAAAAGGAATTAAATGGTCTTATCATTGACTTCCTTAAGCTGGAAGCCCCCATAGAGCAGCAACTCAGAAAGCAGTTCTCCTCACCCACAGAGACGAGGTGGCTGTAGTTCTCCAGCATCACGTCCCTGTAGGTCATCTTCTCATCAGGGTCCAGCTGCTGCCACTCCTCCTGGGTGAAGTCCACGGCCACATCCCTGAACGATACTGACCCCTGTAATGGCACCATGATGGGAACTGGGTGATATGGACCTGACACACTAGGACAGGAGCTCACCCAGCTCACTGGGAAAGGTAGCTGTGAAGCGTGAACGCCTCATGTGTGTTAGCAGGTGTTGAGAGGAAAACAAGCCATGTTAGAAACACACTACCTTTGGGTTCTTCAATGTGTCAAAAAACAAAACTTCCAAAAAACTCTCAAACTGAAAGAAATAAAAAAGAGTTCCAACTTTGCATTTAAAGTACCTGAGTTCTCCATCAGAGGATGAAGAAAGATGAAACCCCACTCCAGCTCAAAAAAGCTTACAGCCTACTGGGGAGACACTGGGTCAGGGAACACATGCATTCCACTCCCTGTCATTCTCTTCCGGGGCCTCTACAGGCAGGGCCTCTGCCTCCCACCTCTTCATGCTGGCGCGCTCCAGCAGTCAGCCATCCCGGCTCAGTTCTTTCATCCTCTGGCCCCTCTGTTCTCACCAGTTACTTGGAGCCATCTGCTGGGCTAAGATTCTTACTGCCTTCAAATGACATCTCAGGCATCTCATTCTGGGAGCAATGAAATGTGCTTCTTAAATGACTGCTTGAGGTATTATTAGAGTGACACATACAAGCTGGCGCGTGGTCTAACAAGAGAGAAGTGAACCATTTTAATTATATGTTGGCAGGCCAGGCTTTGCAAGTTTAGCTGAGTTCAGGGGAAATCCTCTAAACCTAGGGAATCCTCTACAATTCACAAGAAGTGGCGAAAGTGGAACCTTTATGCATTTTAAGTGGGAAGGTAAAATGGTGCAGCTACTATGGAAAACAGCATGGTAGCTCCCCCAAAAATGAAAAACAGAATTAACACATAATTCAGCAATTCCACTTCTGGGTCTCCACCCTCCAAAAAAAAACAAAAGCAAGGCCTTGAAGAGATACTGTACACTCAGGTTCATAGCAACATTATTAAAAGCTAAAAGCATGGGAGAAAAAAAAAGGCTAAAACACAGAAATAACCATCCATCGATGGATGAATGGTTAAGCAAAATGTGATAATACACACAATGGAATGTGATTCAGCTTTAAAAAGGCAGGAAATTCTGATACATGGTACCACATGGATGACCTTTAAGGATATTATGCTGAGTGAAATAAGTCAGTCACAAAAGGACAAATACTGCATAATTCCACTTAGATGAGGTACTCAGAGTAGTCAAAATCCTAGAAATAGAGGGAAAATAGTGACGGCCAGGGGCTGGGGAAGGGGAATAGGGAGTCAGTGTTTAATGGGTACAGAGTTTCAGTTTTGAAAGATGAGAAACAGATGGAGATGGATAGGGGTGATGACTGCACAAAAACATGAATGTCCCTAAGACCACTATCCTGTACACTTATAAACGGATACCATACTAAATTTTGTTACATGTATTTTCTCACAATAAAAAACGTGGAGGAAGAAAAGGCCGTGATGTCTCTCTAATGACGCACCCCACCCACTCCCTGCCACAGCTCGGCAGCCACCCCCTCCCTGGAGGAAAGAGGAAGGAGGTGTGGCCACTGGTTAAGTGCGTCCACACTGTTGTTGCTGTTTAGTTGTTGTGTCCAGCTCTTTTGGGAATCCATGGACTGTAGCCCACCAGGCTCCAGTGTCCATGGGATTTCCCAGGCAAGAATACTGGAACAGGCTGCCATTTCCTTTCCAGGGGATCTTCATAATCCAGGGATCAAACCTGTGTCTCCTGCCCTGGTAGGTGGATACTTTACCACTGAGCCATCACTGATTAGAAATTATTTTCTCAAAAGATGAAATTTTTTAAAAATCAAGAATTGTCAGCTGAGGAAAACAACATAAATAAAAAATAAGCATCAGGATAAACAACAATGATGAAACCAAATTCATAAATGAAAACAACTCACACTGACTTCTATTTTATAATAAATTAAACAGAATATTGCTTCCAGAAAATGAGAGCATTCTGCTAAGAAAAAGCAACTGGAGATACTTAGAAATTGAAGACGAATGTGGAATTTAAAAAAAATCCTGAAGTAAGAAGCTTGATTATCAAATGGGACACAGGACATGTAACTTAGAAAATTTCTCTCAAAACAAGAAATTGGAATGATGAAAGAAAAATCACAGGGATGAAAGCCAGATCCAACATTTTCAGAAAGAGATTGTAGAGGATGAACAATGAAAAATCATCAGAGATTCCTGAACCAGAGATCATAAAAATAAACAAACAAAATAAAACGAAACATCCTTAAAAGGGGCCAGATAATCTGCAAAGAACAACACTGGGGGAGAAATAGATCAAGAAATATTCAGAAAAAATTTCCAAAATTTTACGATTAGGAAAAAATCCTAAAGTTATAGAGAAAACAACAACAACAACAACAACACTAGTTACCCTAGTTTAACTATAGCCCACTCCAATATTTCTTGCCTGAAAAATCCCATGGACAGAGGAGCCTGGCGGGCTACTGTCCAAAGGGGCTCAAACAGTTGGACCTGACTGAGCACACACATAGGAAGTAAAAGTCTTCTGGTTTAAGTTAGTTCAGAAGACAAGAAGTGACAGGGGTTAGAAGACTGAGCAATCAAAAAAAAAAAAAACTAAATGGGACATTTTCTAAGCATATCATCTGGTTTAATATTTGGAAATTCATTAATACAATCTGCTATTGTAATACAACTACAAAGAAAAGTGTCACATTTCCAAAGATGCTGAAAAGACCTCTGAAAATATTCAAATGCATCCTAATTTAAAAAAAAAACAAAACAAAAAAACCCTCAAGAAAATAGGAATTGATAGATACTTCACTAAGATGAATATGTGTATGTGGTGGTGTTATTCAGTTGCTAAGTTGTGTGGGTCTTCTGCAAACCCATGGACTGTAACCCACCGGCTCCTCTGTCCACAGGATTTCCCAGGCAAGAGTACTGGAGCGGGTTACCAATTCCTTCTCCAGGGGATCTTCCCGACTCATGTTGAACCTGAATCTTCTGAGTTGGCAGGCAGGTTCTTTACCACTGAGCCATCAGAGAAGCCCTGTGTATATACATACTCATACCCTACCGGGCATGGTACATGTGATATATACACATAAAACCACATATATACACTTTAAGTTTATAAACACATATTTATGCTTCAGTCCTCTGAGTTCTACAGTCAGGACCTATTTAATGGGGAAATAACAGACACATTCCCACTAAGATTACACTAAGATTAGAAACAAGGCAAAACACTCATCATCTCCAATTAGAGAAAACAATTACAGGCCTAACAAAATGTCATTAAAAGTATTTCTATTCACAGATACTATATTATACCTAGAAAACTCAGAAAATCAACAATGGAACTACATCAATAAAAGGAACTCTGTTAGGTAACAGAATTTATAGTTAACACACATAAAATCAACAGCCCTCATTACATAAAAAGGAAAAAGATGTAATTCAGGCATACATGCAGTTTACAATACCAACAGAAATGTACAAAATCTATACTAGAAAAATTTAAAAACATTCCTGAAAGAGAATGAATGGAATGATTCTCTTTGTTCTTGGACAGGCTGTGAGGCATAGTAAAATGAGATGTGCCTTCACCAAGACACATCACAATCCAATGGCTAAAAACCAGCGATAAAGAGAATAAAAGCAGCAAGAGGAGGAGAAAAAAAAAGATTTTATATACAGAAGAACAAAGATAAGGATAACATCAGATTTCTGGTAGAAACAATGTAAACAAGAAGCCACTGGAGGAACACATTCAAAGTACTAGAGGAAAAAAACAATAGCAGCAATGATTCCTTTAAAAGGGAAGGTAAAATAAAGACATTTTCAGACATACAGGAGCTGAAAGAATTCATTATCAACTAGAAGAAATACAGGGCTTCCTGGTGGTTCAGACAGTAAGGAGTCCACCTGCAATGCAGGAGACCCGGATTTGATGCCTGGGTCAGAAAGTTCCCTTGAAGAAGGGAATGGCCACCCACTCCAGCATTTTTGCCTGGAGAATTCCATAGACAGAAGATCCAAGTGAGCTACATTCCCTGAGGTCGCCTAGCGTTGGACATGACTGAGCAACAAACAGTATGGTATGGTCTAGAAGAAATATTAAAGAAAGCCCCCTAGGCAGAAGGAAAATGACAGCAGATAAAAATGTGGATCAAAACAAAGAAGCAGCAGAAATGGGAACTATGCATTTTCTCTCATCACTTAAAACTCTTATAAAGATTACTAATTAAAAATAATGATGTATTATGGGACTGGTACGACCTGCAAAAATAAAATGCAACAGTGTAAAGACCAAGATGGGAGAAATGGAACTGCAGCTTCTTACACTCTAAGTGAAATAGTCTATAACTTGAATATAAACTATGATAAAGTTACATATTATAAACCCTAAAGTACCTAGTAAAATAACAAGTGTTCTAACAACCCAACAAAGGGTATAAAATGGAATTAAAAAAGTCAATTCAAAGGAAGGAAGACAAAGAAGATGAGATGAACAGAAAATAAAGACACCAGACTATAAGCTAACTGGTTGTATTAATATTTACATTATATGCAAATACCCTAAACACCCCAATTAATAGGAATTAATTGTCAAATTGGATAAAAAACAAGACCCAACTATATGCTGTCTTCAAATGCTGTATTTTGCATATAAAGATGCAAATAGGTTAAAAGTTAAAGGACAGAATAAGATATTGCACATCACATGTCTCAAAAGAAAACCAGAGTGGCTTTATAAACATCAGAGATTCCATTTCACAGCATACATTCTTACCAGGATGGGAGGTCACTGAACAATGACAAAGTGGCTAATTAATCAAGAGGACATAACAATCTTAAATATTTAGGTATCTTTTAATGAAATTCATGAAGCAAAAACTGACAGAATTGCAAAGAGAAACAGACAAAACCACAACCACAGATTTCAACAGCCCTTGCTCATGATTGATGGGAAAATCGGCAGGTCAGAAAGGACACAGTATACCTGCACAACAATAACAACTTGATGTGAATGATAGTCACCAAACACTCTGAACACACAACAGGCACCTTTCTCACGTGCACACGAAAATCTCCAAGAAATGGTTTCTCCTTGTAGTCAACACAAATCACATAAGGGATGGATGGTATTTTCCTTTTTCTATAAAATCAATCATATTTACAGCTGGATTCCAGGTAAATATCCTAAAGCATCATACTACCTATACATGTGAACTAAACAGAGTCCAGGTGCCAATCTGTCCCTGTCACGTGTATTTTACATGACAGTGTCTTATTTATTTCTACCTGCCCATTTAAAAAGTGTGGATCCTTATATACATCCTTAAAGGCATTATAGAACAAAGTGTGAGTATATATAAACAGACAGGAAAACTCACCTGGGATTCATTCATTTTCTGCTTCTCTTGGAAAAAGCTAGACTGTGAACCGGTGTACCTAGAGGAAGGGAAGCAATTAGTTGAAGCCGTGAGTAACCTGGCCTACCTAGGCAGGAACCTTCTGGAAACATTCAGAAGAGGCTAAAGGGGTCCTACAGGAGAAACACACACCTGAACCCCTGTAACTCCAACAACATCAGGTTACTCTCACTGGTGAATATAAATACTGACTCACTTTTCAAAGAGTGTGCCACCATTAAATAAAAAGTGCAAAAAAAAAAAATCCTCCCTGTGGCACTGTTTAAATATTCCTCTTACTGTCTCTTTAAACTGATTGAAATAAAAGATTCCATGGGAATGGAGAATGTGAAGCTCTCAAAAGTGGGATAAATGTGCATTAAGGCATGGCATTATAAATGACCTGACTCAACCTGGTTACCGCTGTAAAGTTGTTTTTTTTGTTTGTTTGTTTGTTTTTTAATTAAGAAAGCTGCAATACAGTCGGACAGAGCACTTGCCCCTGGAGTCTGATCTTGCTAATGATCCCACCTGCAGACCGGGTGACCTGGGACAAGTCACCTCCCCTCCTCCCTCAACTGAGGCAGCAGGACAGACGCCTCGAAGACTCATCCCGCACTAACTACCCGGTGCCAGTCCACCCGGCAGAACCCGCGGAGGAGGGGGGCGTGGCGTGTCAGCGAAGGCTTAGATTACAGAACCAAGTGCTGATGAGTCTTGAGAGACACGTGCAGGATCGCAAGGCGAGAGAAAGAGGAGGGGCGTCGGGGATGGAGCCAGGGGCGGACGCAGCACATCCGGGCCAAGCCGGTGGCCCCCACTGCCCCAGGGCACCCAGAACTCACAAGCCCCGGGGGAGCCCAATCGGAGCAGCCGGTCCTGCCTTCCAGCCCAGCCTCTCGACCCCCGCAAAGCGGTCAAACCTTCCCAGTCGCTCTCTCGTGGGGTCTGGCGCGGGCTCCCCAAGCCCTGCTCTCCGAGGGGGGCAGGATCAACAGCCGCCTGGAGGCCGCAGACGCACCACCTACCTCGTCGGGACTCGCTGACCGGCCCCGGGCTCCCCAAGCTCCGGCCGGGGGCTGCTGCTCCGGCGCGTTCCTCTCGCTGAGTCCTTCCTCTCCGCCTCCCGAGGCCGCTGCGGGCGAGGAGATGGCTTTGGGCCTACGGGACAAGCTCCCTTCAGGCCAGCGTCCCTCCCAGGACTTCACAGGTCAGTGCACAGCAGACGATCGGGCCCGAGCCCCGCCGCTTCTTCGCCGCCGCCGCCACCACCTGTTTGGCCTCTCCGATCCAGCCCGAGGGCTCTGGGGCTCGAGCTTGAGAGTCCCCGCTCCAGCCTCCTCCCGGCCCGCGAGAACCCTCGCGCGCACAGCCCGCTCCCGCTGGACGCCGACCCGGCCGGACGGCGTTCCAGCCCCGCAGGCCGCGATGTGTCCGCCTGCCGGAGGCCAGAGCCTGGGAACGAGGGTGAGTGGTGACCCAGGCAGCGACAGGAAGCGACAGCGGCACCGAGGCGGTACGCGTGCGCGAACGCGCACAGCGGACGAGGCGCTCCAGCGCTGGAGGACGCCGGAAGTCGGCCTGCCAGAGCCCGCCCCCGGGAACCGGGCAAATACCGGGACTCTATTTCCCAGAAGTCTCCACGCCCCATGAAGTTAAGGGAACGTCTTAAGTGTCTTCACCTCATCAGGTTGTGAAGAGGTGCTGTGTTGAGAGGATGGGCCTCTTGGCCGCGGGAATCAAATTTCCTTTTAATTTAAGGGAATGTCTGTAATGTCACCGCTTCTTCAGGCATCTTGCTTTTTATGTCATGGTGCCCTAATATTTTCCTTGTGCATGTTCAGTTGTTCAATCGTGTCCGACTCTTCGCGACCCTATGGACGGTAGCCTGACAGGTTCCTCTGTCCATGGAATTTTTCAGGCAAAAATACTGGAATGGGTTGCCGTTTCCTCTTCCAAAGGATCTTCCCCAACCCAGGAACTGAATCCACCTCTCTTGTATTGGCAGGCAGATTCTTTACCACAAAGCCATAATATTTTCCTGAGTGTTTTAAGTCTTAAATGTCCACAGACAACTGTGGTAACTAAGGGAAGGGGGTTATCATGTCTGCTTCTGGTCGTTTGTGAGATATCTAATTAAAGTGTTAGTAAACAGAGCTTAGCAATAACAGAGTATTAGTCTAGGATACCTTCTTTTCCCTTCTAGGGAAGAAGAAATCTAGCTTTTCCAACTCATTAAAAAATATATATATATATATTTAGTCGGCTGCCCTGGGTATTAGTTGCAGCACACGGGACTTTAAATCTTTGGTGTGATATCCAGACTCTTAGTTGCAACATATGGGATCTAGTTCCCTGACCAGGGATTAAACCCCAGGCCTCCTGCATTGAGAGAGCAAAGTCTCCTGGTCTCCTGCCTGGAGGTTAATGGTGTTCATTTCAAATTACCAAGAGATGAAAAGACTGTCCATGAACTGGTGACTTACCCCATAACCGGCTCTTCAGCATGTTGCCCCTTCCTCTACTTGCTTTACAACCCTCGAGCAAAACCCTCGAGGGGTGAGCTGGTTTTTTGGGACGTGAAGCCAACTTCTCCGCAGGGTTGCCGGCTTCCTCAATAAAGCTGTTTTTCCTTTTACCCAGCAATTGTCTCTTGGTATTGAATTTTTTAATGATGTGAGATCTGCCTCATCTTCTATTGCTTTTTCTACATGGAAAATAATTCAGGACTATTTTTCAGAGTTAAGAAATGTGGTTAGATAATCACCACACCATTAAGCAACATAACATCTCATTTGACTGCAAACAAGCAAACCAAACTGGTAATGACCACACACATCATGACTGTGAGAAGAGTTTCATCTTTATTATATTTCCCTAAAAGCTACACAGCATTATCCTCTTCAATAATCTAAAATTACATACAAACATCTGAAGACAGTTTAAAAAAATTACAGCTGAATTTCCACAATTCAATAATAAGAACTTTAGAAGTTAAAATTTATGTTTACAAAAATTAGGAGGAATAACCTACCTAGCTACAAGTAGAATCAATATATTATGTAAATATAATAGATTAAAAACACAAAAATGTCTTGAAAATGTATACAAATTTGTATTTACCTATACACAACAACTATAATATCCATCACAAAACTGTAGGAATAACATGTTTTCAAAACATGTTATTTAAAGTAGATATATAAAAATAAATACAATAATTTTATAGGCAACATTCTCAAAATAAGCCAGTGATAATGATGGCAAACTTTAAGTCATCTATCATGATGCTATGGCTCTAATTTTATATTTTAAAGTAATTCCTTCCTATTCCAAGCCCCTACATTTCACCTTCAAATGAATCTAGACTAGGGCAAATAAGTGTATAAAAATGGGGCCTCCAACATCTATCTCAGGGGAGATTTGAATTAATCTGAAAATTGGGGTGGTGCCTTAGGAAAGAAGAGAACCTGAAAAAAACCGTGATTTCTTATTGTGCCGCCAAAGATTCCTGGAAGCACACTCTGCTCCTAGGAGCATGACCGAAAACTCTCTTCAGTTCATTCTAAAAGATGCTGGGTTCTTTCCCATTATCTGCACAGAGGCTTCTCGTGTCCTTCCTTGTGGCTGTCATCAGTGTCTGGATTGACTTTCTCTTGAAAATCCTCATCTTCTCTGGGTGATCTGGAAGTGAGAGAGCTAGGGTGTTAGATTTCAAAGCGGTGACTCTCCAGATATAAAGATTATTTACGGGCATTCCTGCTGGCTCAGTAGTAAAGAATCCACCTGCCAACGCAGGGGACATGGGTTTGATCCCTGATCTGGGAAGATCCCACATGCCAAGGAGCGACTAAGCCATACGCCACAACTGCTGAAGCCCGAGCGCCCTAGAGCCTGAGCGCCACAACGAGAGAAGTCGCTGCAATGAGAAGACACACATTGCAACTAGAGAAAAGCCCTCACAGCAACAAAGAACCAGCACGGACAAAAATAAATAACTAAATAAAAGCATTACAGAAAGATTATTTACATTCTCAGTCAATTCTAACCAGAGTTTAGGCTAATTAATAATCCCGGTTTTATCTCAAACTCTCCATTCTAAACCCCAATCCTGAACCAGTGTTTTCAAGTGTGATTCTTGGACTTTGGTGACCCCGACGGCAGAAATGACTGAATACACCTAAGGTCAGGCCCAGGAATTTGCTTTATGGCCAAGATTCTAGGTGATTCTGCTCAGGGAGCTGACACTCAGAGAATGCTGCTGTAGCCTAACTCACCTCGGTCCTTTCGCACCACTTACAATCTGAACTTTCAACCATCCTACAAACACTATGAAAAAGTCAGCACTATGAATCATAAGACCGGATGCCTGATCCCTAATCCTAAGCCTGAATCCTAATGTTTAAATAATACTTACTCCTAAACTCGGTTACTGTTACGGTCTGAATGTTGTGTCCCCCTAAAATTCTTATGTTGAAATCATAAACCTTAAGGTGATGGTACTGCGCTTCCTGGGTGGCTCAGACGGTGAAGAATCCACCTGCAATGCAGGAAACCCAGGTTCCACCCCTGGGTCAGGAAGATCCCCTGGAGAAGGGAATGGCTACCCACTCCAGTGTTTTTGCCTGGGAAATCCCATGGACAAAAGACCCTGGTGGGCTATAGTCCATAGGGTCTCAAAGAGTTGGACATGACAGAGAAATTAATCTACAGCAAGGTGATGGTATTTGCAGGTGGGGTCTTTGAGAGGTTATTAAGTCATGGGGTAGAGTCCCTATGAATGAGATTACTGCCATTATAAAAGGACCTGTGTTTTTTGTTGTTTTTAACCCGAAGTCAGTCTGTAGTATTTTTTTTTTTTTTGGCCGCACTGCACAGCACAAGGAACTTCCCCAATCAGGGGCTGAACTCACGTGCCCTGTATTGAAAGCAGAGTCCTCTAGACCTCCAGGGAATATCTCCAGTCTGCAGTATTTTGTTAGGGAAACTTGAATGGATTAAGACAGTTAGTTTACAACTTAAACCAAACCTTTGCTTAATTCTCTGCCCACATCTATAACTCTATTGGTTGATCGTAATAAGCCAGGCTGAAGATAGCATTCCTTAATTTTCACTGGTTCTGATAAACTCCCTTGACCATAAACTTGAGGTGGGAAGCAAGAGGAAGTAACTGGTCCAGGAATGGTGAGTCAGAGGAAATAATCACAGGTGATCTGGTGATAAGGAATTTGAAAGTAAATTTGGATGAAAATAAAGCTAGTCATAGTTTCTCTTTTATCATTGACCATGTAGGCTGTTCTGTCTAACATCCTATTTGTAGACATTGACTTTGTGGAAGATAAATTCTTTTTTTTTTTTTTTTTAGATAAATTCTAAGAGTCACTATCCCAGAGGGATGAAGGGCCACAGATGAATTAAAAAGAGGAACTCAAAACACAATATATGGAAAAAATTGGAAACTTTTGCTTTTCACAAAAAACAATATCCCATCAAGTTGTTATTTGGACCCCATTGTTTTGGGTGAAATGATTGCAGCTAAACCCATACCTCTGTGACAAGTAGTTTTCCATGAGGCCTGGCACCCACGGACCCCACTGTACTGTGTCTGTGTGTGGTGGTCAGGCTGTGGCCGGGAACTGAGTCAGCATCTGGCTGTATGCCCAGCTGGCCTGAGTCACAGGTTGGAAGGTGATGGCAGTCCACAGTTGGAATCCTCAATGAACAACACATTATTCTGCCCACATCTGCGAGGACATAGACCTACCTTTCCTCAGGCCGGTGATCTCAGGCCCTCGTGGTCCTGGGGGGCCCCTAGGGCAAGAGGGCACGATCTCGATCCCACACCCAGAGTCTCGGGTGAATAGCTTGGATCTGGAAAGATGAACAGCCCCTTGAAATGACGGTGCCTCTCCAAGTTGACCCTTCTCCTCCCCTTGTTCAGCCTCCAATTCTTTCCCCCAATCCCCATGACCCCTCCTCTCCTCACCACCCCCACTTCCAAGCCCCCAGAGCCCACCCACCTTCTCACACTCTTCCTGGGTGACCCTCATCTTCCAGTTCATGGAACAGATGAATTGGAAAAGCAGTTTGTGGAACAAGGGACGCTGGGAGTGGTTCCTTCCATAGAGGAATGAAAAGATGATCTGTTTGGGGGCGTGGTTGTCCTCTTCCATCTTACTGGCCAGGTAGCTGAAAAGACATCAGGTGGCTTTCAGGAGCAGAACAGGAAGGGCTTTCACTTGAGGTCAGCTTTCTAGAAAGGATACGGGCTGAGCATCTTCACACAACCTGTCCAGCCCTCCCCAGCATCCCCGGTCATCAAAGAGCCACTGCTGGGCGGGACCTTCAGAAGGGCATCTCTCACGCCTTGTTGATGAGGACAAAATCCCAACCTCTGTTCCTTTCCGTTGGTTTTATGTGCACACACCTGGCTCCCTAGGTTGAAGGTACATGTACAGTTCCTGAGAGCTGGAGCTGATCTGTCTATTTCTGCATTCATGCCTTTCCTACCAAATGATGTGTTTAGGGCTTGCTCTTATGTTGATGCATTAATTCAGCAGCCCTTCTTGAGTCTGTCTTCCCATCACCTCATATTCCCCAGCACATTGTTGTTGTTTAGTCATTGTGTCTGACTTTTTGTGACCCCATGGACTGTAGCCTCCAAGGCTCCTCTGTCTAGGAGATTTCCCAGGCAAGAATACTGGAGTGGGTTGCCATTTCGTTCTCCCAGGGATCTTCCTGACCCAGGGATCAAACCCAAATCTCCTGCATTGCAGGTGGATTCTTCACCACTGGGCCACCAGGGAAGCCCCACCCACATAGGGTGCCCTTCATAAGGTTTCATCAAATGAGTGAAAGAATGTTTTATAGCCAAATGCAATACAGATTACCTTGGAGACTCACTATAACAAACTGTTGGAAAATGAAAAGAATTGTGCTGAAGAAAATACCAATGGGTATTTTGACAAGAACTGGATTAGTGTAACAGGATTGGGGAAGGGGGAGGGGAGAGAAGAAATTATTATAATGCAAAACATCACATTATAATAGGATTTTAAGGAAAGTGTTAGTAGGATGTAGAAGTTAGGGATCTCTTCATATTCATTGTGAAGGTTTTGGTGTTTGAACTCAATTTAAGGATAAGGTCATTTTCTTTGGATAAATGTGTATGGGAAAGATATCTGGAAAGAAAGCATATGAATATAAAATATAAAATAGAGGGAAAAGCATTTGAAGGGAACAGTGAAACAAAGGAATAAAGAATCAGGACAGTTAGCAAGTGTGATGGAGACTGTCGAGAGGGCTGACTTCCAACCCTGAACTCTGGCCTTGATTTTGGTGAGTAATTAGCCAATGAACACAGGTCAGACCTGTGTCTTTGGAAGAATATTTGGGCAAATAAAGCTGACTGGCTTGGGAGAGACTTGGAAGAAGCATTAGTGTGGAGGGTTTTACACCAGATTTGAGTTGTGTAGTGAGGACCCCAATCGTGGCCTTTTGTCGTGGGAACCCAGAAATGGAATATGGTCACACTTGGTACTGATGTGGGAAGGAGTGAGACAGAAGAATTCAAACCGGAAACGGAACTCTCAAGCCTGTTTACTTGGGGGCAGGACGGTGTCAGCTCTTTCTTCCTCTCCTTTTAGCAGGGTTTCTTTGTTTCCTTCAGTCTTTTGACTGATATTAGGGTTGTTTGTTTTGACAACAGTATAAAAAACATACTTCATATATATATATACGGGTCATATATAGATATGATTATTTACTTTTATCTAGTTTGTTTCACTGTTTCTATTTCATATTCAGTCTTCCCATTTCATTTAGGTTATGTTTTCCAATTTCTCCATATCTTTTTTTATGTTTTTTCTCAAGACTTTATCAAGCGTAGTAGAAAAGCTTTTGTATACATACATACATATAAATTATATATATATATATATATTAGAAAACTTATGAATTTTGGCCTAACTAAAAAATTTATGACATTTTGACTATACTTGTTTGACTTAGCATGAATAGAATGCTAGATTTCTAATTAAAAAAAATAAGCAACAAGAAACAAAGATTTCTGTATAGTACAGGTGTGGACACTGGCTTCCAGTCCATGGGGTCACAGAGTTGGACACGACTGAGCGACTAACACAGGGAACTATAGTCAAAATACCTTGGAATAACCTATAGTAGAAAATAATCTGAAAAGAATATGTGTATATGTATAACTGAATAAACTTGCTGTGTACCTGAAACATGGTAAGTCAACTGCACTTCAATAAAATATATATATAAAGAAAAAAAAACTTCAAAAAGAAACCACTCCACTATAATCCTGTCATTTTCACACACAGAATAAACAGTACAAATAGTTTTTTAAAAAAAAAAAAAAAGATGAAAGGGACGAGCCCCATACCTCTCCCCCCACCCTCCCAGGGTGCTGAGCACTGACAGGGAGATGGAGCAAGCTACTCACAGAGCTATGAAGAAATGGATCCTCTGGTATTGCCAGGAGAAGAGGCCGGCTCGGCTGAAATAAGCAATCACCATCGCCAGGAGATACTGAGGGACAAAAAGAAAAAACAGAGAGAGGTCACATCCCAGAAGAGGAAAAACAGAGAAGGGAGTGGTATGACTTCCCAGGTGGCGCAGTGGTAAAGAACCCACCTGCCAATGCAGGGGGCTCGGGTTCCATCCCTGGGTTGGGAAGATCCCCGAGAGACGGAAATGGCGACCCATTCCAGTAATCTTATCTGGGAAATGCCCTGGACAGAGGAGCCTGGTGGGCTACAGTCCGTGGGGTCGCAAAAGAGTCAGCATGTCTTAGCAACTGGACAAGCACAAAGAGCGGGAGGCGGGGACGGGGAGGTGCCCCTTGGAGAAGAGCCCCTGCCCCGTGTTGGGGGAGCTTGATTTTTCTGGGGGAGGAAAGGACGAAAAGCCCATGATGTTCCCAGGACAGGGGCTGTGGGTTTGAGGGCAGCCAGCACTGGGTGGTTTTTGATGAGCTGGAGCAAATATGAGTCTCCTCTGAGCACAGTGGGGGCTTAGGTGACCACCACCAAGTGAGCTTGCCTAGGGCCCAGACCCCAGAGGACACCTCCAGGCCCCCAGAGGGAGTTGCTGACAAGGCATCAGGGTGGAGAGGGGAGTGGAAATGTGGGTTTAGAGACTACCCTCACCCCACCCCGCCCCGGGACAGGTGCTGGAGCAGAAATCCCTCTCAGTGATGACTCACCTTGTCGGATACCTTCAGGTTTCTATCCCAGGTCAGGAATCTCTTAATGACATGATCCTCTGTGAAAAGAGGGCACATGTTAGACAATAGGAACGGGGCTGCCGGGAGAACATTCCAGAGCAAAGAGGGAGAATGGTGCCCCCAATGGGGAAATTCTGGGATGTGGCCCAGGGTCGGGGGAGGGAAGACTTTTCACTGGACAAGGAAAGGGGCTGACTTCCCTTCTAGGGGCGGCAAATGAGAGGGACCGGTGCCCCTTCGTCATGCATGCACATACCCCTGTAGAGGCCATCAAATTATCACAATTTCTTCCCCGACAGTCATGTCAGGCATGTAGATTCAAACAGCCTAGATTCAGTCAGGGCTAAGAATTCTCAGGGGTGCAGCTACCAAGTTAACCTAATCATACAGGATTATCATCTCCAAGACTGACCTCCACTGGGCTGTGCTCAGCGGCTTCAGTCGTGCCCGACTCTTTGCGACCCCGTGGACTGTAGCCCACCAGGCTCTGTCCATGGGATTCTCCAGGCAGGAATACTGGAGTGGGTAGCCTTTCTCTTCTCCAGGGGATCTTCCCGACCCAGGGATCGAAACTGCATCTCTTGAACTGCAGGCGGAGTCTTTACCGCTGAGCCATCAGTATCATTTCTGAGTCTAATCTAATCCTGCCTCATTGCTCATCAGCTAGCAGGGAATTCTTCTCCCTCGGAAAAACGTAGTCGTTGCAAGTTTTTTTTTTTTTTTTTCAGTTATAGAACAGGAGGTTGCGGGGCTGATGGGGAAGGGTCCTTACCAAGCATCCTGTTGAAGACCACGTGGTGTTCAGGCAGCACCATGAGCACCTGCTGTTTCTTCAGCCTTATCCTAAGCCCACTCAGTGACTTCACGATCCAGCTGTCCTGGGCCTCGTCCTCCGCTTCTGCTCCGAATGCCGCTGACCACTTCCTCTTAGAGCCGGGGCGCCAAGGCAGGGAGCTGGAGCTGGCCCAGAGGGCTAAGAAAGGAAAAGAGGCTACGATATGAAGCTTTTGTCTTTGGAATCCAACCACCGGTTCCCCACTCCCATCCCCAACTCTCCCCATCCAGCCTCTCCAGTCTCATAGATTGTTGTCCTTTCCATCTTTCTCTGTTGATATTCATCTACCCCTCCCCCCATTTTTTTGGGCCATTTTTCCAGCTTCCGATCCTGAAAATCTTTTCTTCATGGCAGATAATTTCTCCCACTGTGTTGTTCCAGTCGCCAAGTCACGTCTCTCTGTGACCCCATGGACTGTGGTCCATGAGGCTGCTCTGCCCGTGGGATTTCCAAACAAGAACACAGGAGTGGACCCAAGTCTCTTGCATTGGCAGGCGAATTCTTTACCACCGACTCACCAGAGAAGCAATTTCTCCCACTCGGGAAAAAAAAAGGAACCTTCCTTTTGTTTCCCCTCTTCCTTTCTTTCATCCTTGGATCTCAGGTCCTAACCTTCTTTCTTGCTTCCCAGGTTTTCTGTGTCTCCAGCTCCTGTCCTCTCCTCCCCAAGTCTCCGATTTTCTGAATATCTCCTTCCTTCCACACCTTATACAGGAGCTCCTTCCTGACATCTGTACCCCTTCCTCCCCAGTGTAAACCCCCAGAAATCCCTTCTCGTGCCCAGCTCCCTCACCTGAGGGGCTTGGGATTTCTTCACTGACGATCACCTCCATGGGGAGCCCCGAAGAGCTAGACTGGGGGCTCTGGTCCTCAAACTGGGAATTCAGGCGACAACTGGCCATGATTTCTCCCGAACTCTTCTTCCACGCAACCTAGACCCAGTTCTGTCTCAGCTCTTCTGGATCCTGGCCAAACGCAAGCGTGATGTCCCTTCTTCAAGCTGAGGATGAACTGGGAGTGGAGGACGCTCTGGGGAGATACTGTTGTCCACCTCCGCCGTTGAGCACCATAGGAGTCTGCTCTTCCAATCAGGAAGGTCAGAAGCCTCTGACGTCACTGGTCATTCCAATCTGGCAACCAGCTTGAAGAAAATCATAAGTAACTGTTTGACCGAGGTGTCCACTTCTCCCGGAGATTGAGGGGAAATTGTATTTCCTGCCACTGACCCAACTCCTGACCACCCTCCAAAGCCATCCTTCAGGTGTTGGATTCCCTGTTTATCCCTTCCCAGCAGGTTTGCCCTTTTAAAGGTACAATTGAGTGGCATCAAACACTCAAGCTGCTGTGCAACAATTGCCAGTGTCATCTCCAAAATGTGTTCATCTTCCCAAACTGAAACTTTGTCCCCATTAAACACTAACTCCCATCCTCCTCCCCCAGCTCCTGGCATCCATCCTTCTACTTTCTGTCTCTGAATCTGACCCCTCTGGGGAGTTCATAGAAGTGGAGTTGTATAACATTTGTCCATTTGTATCTGGCTGATTCACTTAGTGTAACATCTTCAAGGTTCAGATGTGTGGTAGCCTAAATCAAATTTTCCTTCTTAGACCCCCAAAGCCAGTGTGGATGGTACACAGTGAGCAAGAAGGAAAGAAAACCCTGGTTCTGAAGATGTTCAGATGTATCCTAAGTGCAATGGGAAACCAGTGAAGGAGAGGAGCCACGGTCCAATCTGCATCGAAAGGGAAAAAATTAATGTCACCTGCTGTATTAATGGATGGGGTGGAGGGAATTCCCTAGTGGTCCAGTGATTAGGACTCTGTGCTCTCACTGCTGAGGTCCTGGGTTCAATCCCTCGACAGGGAACTAAGACCCCACAAGATGTGAAAAAATGGGGTGGAGATTCAGTAAGAGTTGGAACTAGGGAGACCCGGATGTGGTTAGGAGTTGGGGGGTGGGTAAGTCCCGAAAGGGGATGTCTGAAAAGACGGAGAGAAGTAATCAGGTTCCAGGCATCTGGAGGAAGAGCCAGCAGGTCTCATCAGGGGGTTAGATGTGGGGGAGGCTGGGGGCTGTAGTCCTGTGTCCTCTGTGTTCTCGTGCATGCATATGCCTCTTCTGCACGTGTGCAGGCTAAGTCACTTTAGTTGTGTCTGACTCTCTGCACCACTATGGACTGCAACCCACCAGGCTCCTCTGTCCATGGGATTCTCCAGGCAAGAATACTGGAGTGGGTTGCCATGCCCTCCCTCCTGACCCAGGGATTGAACCCGCATCTCTTACATCTCTTGCATTGGCAGGCAGGTTCTTTACCGCTACGGCCACCTGGGAAGCCCCTTATGCCTCTACTGCTGAAACTTGTTTCTGCAGAGAAATACTAACTTTTCCTCTTAAAAGTGGAATTACTGAATTTTCCCAGTGTATAAAAAAAAAGAAATATCAAATAATAAATAAATAAATGCTGTCTGTATAGATTTTAAAAATTTCCTTCCCTTTTATGGATTAATTGTATCAACATACACACTGCATTTCTTTATCTATTCATCTGTCAACGAACACTTGGCTTGTTTCACAACTTCGGCTCTGAGCCCTGCTTTTGAATTACTGTTTGGACTTTGATGAGAAGTACCTCTGTTGTTCAGGGTGTGCCCAAAGTTTTATTTTGTATTTTGATCACTTACATGTTTCTAGTTGGTCATCTAGAGTCAGAGCAGTTCATCCAAGGTGCGGAGACCGTCTCTCTGGGTTGTTCTCCATGACTTTCTGAGATGGACTAGGTCTCAGAGGCCCTGCAAACCACGCCTGAGGTCCTTCCCAGCTGCTACTGGACTGGTTCTCCTCATGTGGGCACTTCTGGGAAAAGCACTGCTGCTTGAGGACCTGTGTCCCTCTGCTGTGGACGCTCGTTCAATTGTTAGGAGGCAAATGAGTTCAGGTTTGCATTCATCAGTCTTTCTACCGTCAGTGCTGATTGGATCTCTTCATAACAAAACAGAAATTCACTCTTTCTTCCAGTTAACAAGGTTTCAAATATTAGAAGGTTGGTTTTCTGTCTTCCTGAAAGTGTCTCTTATGAACAACAAAATACCTTGATTGTTTAATCTAATCTTCAAATCTGGATTTGCATAATCCAATCTTCCCCTGTCCACCTTGCCCAATCGGGCTACAATTGTGTGGGGTCTGTTGCTATGTTGACTAAAAATGGCATAAACAACCCAGATTGAATCTGCTGCTGTAATTAAGCACGACCTCAGGGTCTTCTGGGATGAATTCTCCTGTCTTCCCCTGCATCTTGTCTTTAGAAAATTTTAGCCTCCTTGCCCTTCTCCAAGTTCCAAAGAGTAAATCTAATCAAAGAAGTGAGAACATGCATAAAGAAAGGAAAACAGCCAAAAAGAGACAAAATAATAATAGTTTAGCCATTAAACAAAGTCAGCATCCTTTTTCCTCCTCAAGGGGTATAGACAATATTCTGGGCCAAGCCCTGTGAGCTGTTTCGCAGATACTGAAAAGCCCATCAGGTGGAAGAAGTCACAAGCATATAGACCGCAGGCCAGTAGGAACCAGAAGGTTAATGATGTTGGCTCCCGGTTGCCTCAACACCAGCCAATCAGAGGAAGGTCCACCAGCTGATCACACAGCCCCACAACCACCCCTCCCCCACTCTTCTTCCTTCACTTAAATGCTTTTTAAATTTTATATTGGAGTATAGTTGATTTATGATGTTGTCTTAGTTTCAGTTATGCATTTCTGTATATCTATTCTTTTTTTCACATTCTTTTCCCCTTTAGGTTAATACAGAATTTTTTTCCCTATGCTGTGCAGCTTGTGGAATTTCAGTTCTCTGACCAGGGACTGAACCTGGGCCACAGTGGTGAAAGCTTGGAATCCTAACCACTAGGCCACCAGGAAACTCTCTAGGTTATTACAGAATATTGTGTAGAGTTCCCTGTGCTATAGGTCCTTGAGGATTGTCTATTTTTTTGGCCTTACCATGTGGCATACAGAAATTGTAGTTCCCTGACCAGGGATCAAACCCACACCTCCTGCATTGGGAGTGAAGAGTCTTAACCACTGGACTACTGGGAAAGTCCCGATTGTCCATTTTATATGTCGTAGTGTGTATATGTTAACCCCAAACTCCTAATTTTTCTCTCTACCCCTCACATTTCCCCTTTGGTAATCATAAATTTGTTTTCTATGTCTGTGAGTCCATTTCTGTTTTGTAAATAAGATCATTTGTATCATTTTTTAAGATTCTACACAGAAGTGATATCATATTGTATTTGTCTTTCTCTTTCTGACTTACCTGACTTAGTATTATGATATCTAGCTCCACCCATGGTGCTGCAAGTGGCTTTGTTTCATTCATTTTTAGGTTTTGTAACATTTCATTGTGTATATGTACCACATCAACTTTATCCATTCACCTGTTGATGGACACATAAGTTGCTTCCACATCTTGGCTATTGTAAATAATACTGCTATGAACATAGAGGTGCACTTATCTTTTTGAGTTATGGGTTTCTCCTGATATATGCCCAGGAGTGGGATTGCTGGATCACATAGTAGCTCTATTTTCAGTTTTTTAAGGACCTTCCATACTATTCTCCATAGTGGCTGCACCTTATATTCCTACCAACAGCCACATCCCATCTTTAAAAACTCTTCCCTGAAAATCACTGGGAGAGTTGGGGCCTATTGACCACTAGCTGCTTGGACTCCTTGCTTGTCACCTTGTTCTACTTTCCTTCCTCATGTCCCAGTGTCAGGAGACTGGCTTTACTGTGTGCATGTGAACAGACTCAAGTTTGGTTCAGTAGCAGTGTATTCAAGGGGGAAAGCAAAACTATCACTTCTCCTCTTCTCTCTCCCTCCTATGAATGCAGTTTAAGATAATTATACTGCAGAAATTTCAGCAGTGTGAAACGAAAGTGGTTTGTCAGTACAATTCTTTCAGCTGAGAATCACATGGAGAAAATAATAAACAGATGCCAGGACCCAGGCTCACAGATTCTAATTCCATAGCACTGAGCTAGAGCCTAATTTGAACTTTCTTGTTGACATGCTTCTGTTGGAAATCTCTGGGTGGGATGAGCTGCCCAGGCTGGTGCAATTGCTGTTCAGTCCCTAAGTTGTGTCCAACTCTTTGCGACCCCAAGGATTGTAGCTCACCAGGTTCTACTGTTCACGAGATTCTCCAGGCAAGAATACTGGAAAGGGTTGCCATTTTCTTCTCTAGCGGATCTTCCCAGATCAGAGATCCAACCCACCTCTCCTGCATTGGCAGGCAGGTTTTTTACTACTAAGCCACCAGGGAAGCCCCGCTGGTACAGTAGGAAGTCCTAAAGAAAGCACGTCACCATCAAATGAAATAAGCAGGAAGGGATGAACCATGACCTAGACCCTAACACGGCAGGGTTGTGGCCAAGCCGTGGGTCCAGGGCTGAGCCAGCCTCTAGTCCTCCTGCCGACAGGTCCACGACAACCCCTCAAGCAGATTCGTGCTGCTATGGATAAGCAGACCCAGGATCGGAGTTCCTGCTGAGCACCTTCCTGGTACCTACCTCCTAGCCACCTAGTGTATATGTAGTGAAGAAACTGCCCCCTCCACCTGCAGCAGATCTTCCCCTACAGCTCTTGAAGAGACCCACTGCTGCCGACGCCTTAATTTGGACTTGCAACCTGCGGAACTGTCAGACAATTCATTTCTGTTGTTTAAGCCCACTGGTTTGGCATACTTTGTGACGCAGCCAAAAAAAAACCTGCCACAACCAGGATTTTGTTGTTGTTTGTTTGTTTATTTATTTATTTTGCTTTGTTTTTACTTTGGCTGTGCTGGGTCTTCATTGCAGCTCAAGGGGGCTTTTAGTTGTGGCACGTGGGCTGGAAGTTTGCCAGGCTCAAGCTCAGAGCACTGAACTGCACCACTGTTGATGTCATTTATGATGTTGTGGGAGTGGCAGCCATCAACATCACAGCCCACAGACTGGGCAATCCCCAGGATCTCTTTAATGGTTTCAGAGTTCTCTAGCTAGAGATGGATGACGCATCTACCTGGCAATGTTGACCATCTCATTAAAACCAATGTTTCTACTGTGTCTAGTGTTTTTCTGCTTCTTTCTGTCTCTTGGCAGTTCCTTGAGGGCTTTAGCAGTTCCATAAGAAGTAGAAGGTACCACTCAATCTGCTCTGAATGATCAGTTTCACTGTATCCTCAGACCCTTCCAATCGCCAGTTACCTTGGTGATGTTATCACCAACCTCTTTTGGAGACAGACCCTGGGGCCAGTCTTGGGGGCCAGGGCAGACGCGGTGCTGACCTCCCCACTATGCAACTCACTATATGACTCTGATCTCGTTGGTGTTGAACTTAGGCAGCATGGTGGAGGCAGCTGGTGTCAAATCAACCCGGATTTCTGATGACCCAAGGAAGTAGCATCTTTGCCTCCTCCAAGCCGAAAATGTTGTCAAGTTTTTTCACAGAAGACAAATTACTGTTATCTTAAACATGTATGCAATGGATTCTATCTCCTGAACTATATAAAAAGTTGAGGTTCATCTCATTTACACAAACATTAGTGGTTCCCTTGTGATGCACAACACCGTCTGCTTTTTTTTTTTAATCAGTCCCATAGCATGCCAGATCTTAATTCCTCCAGGAGGGACTGAACCTGAGCCCCCGGGTGTTTGGAGGGCAGAGTCTTAACTACTGGCCCACCAGGGAAGTCCCACAGCCTTCTTTCATGGTTATTCAACAATAAAACTGTTTTCTTTATTTCTACATCTGGGAATAGGATTTTCGGGATTTGCAGATTTTATTTTTAATTTTACCCATACCAGCTTTTGAGAAGTAACTGGTCAAGAACACAGTTACATGATTTCACCCCCAAAATATAATGATAAATCATTGTTCTTATGATTCCATTTTTGAAAAATGACATTTTTATCTAACATAAACAATATCCTGTTTAAAAGGTAAGATCGCAGATATCCATTTTCTTTTTTCAATTTGTATGTACCTTCTGATTTTTCTATTGTTTTTAATGCATTGATTGTGTAATCTAGAAAAGCAACAATTTCTATTCTCTGTTCCTTCCTTGGAGAAACCATATGCCCATGATTAATATTATTTTATATCATGGCTGAACATTTATTGTATCCTAGCATTTTAATGAAACATAGTATTTCAACGGTTAGAACTGGACATGAAAAAACAGACTGGTTCCAAATAGGAAAAGGAGTATGTCAAGGTTGTATATTACCAACCTGCTTATTTAACTTATATGCAGAGTATATCACGCAAAATGCTGGACTGGATTAAGCACAAGCTGGAATCAAGATTGCTGGGAGAAATATCAATAACCTCAGATACGCAGATGACACCAGCCTTATGGCAGAAAGTGAAGAACTAAAGAGCCTCTTGATGAAAGTGAAAGAGGAGAGTGAAAAAGTTGGCTTAAAACTCAACATTCAGAAAACTAAGATCATGGCATCTGGTCCCATCACTTCATGGCAAATAGATGGGGAAACAATGGAAACAGGAGAGACTTTATTTTGGGGGGCTCCAAAATCACTACAGATGGTGACTGCAGCCATGAAACTAAAAAACACTTGATCCTTGGAAGAAAAGCTATGACCAACCTAGACAGCATATTAAAAAGCAGAGACATTACTTTACCAACAAAGATCGGTCTAGTCAAAGCTATGGTTTTTCCAGTGGTCATGTATGGATGTGAGAGTTGGACTATAATGAAAGCTGAGCACAGAAGAATTGATGCTTTTAAACTGTGGTGTTGGAGAAAACTCTTGAGAGTCCCTTGGACTGCAAGGATATCCAACCAGTCAATCCTAGGGAAAATCAGTCCTGAATATTTATTGGAAAAACTGATGCTGAAGCTTAAACTCCAATACTTTCACCACCTGATGGGAAGAACTGATTCATTGGAAAAGACCCTGATGCTGGGAAAGATTGAAGGCAGGAGGAGAAGGGGACAACAGAGGATGAGATGCTGCTGCTGCTGCTGCCGCTAAGTCGCTTCAATCATATGTGACTCTTTGTGACTCTATAGACAGGAGCCCACCAGGCTCCTCTGTCCACAGGATTCTACAGGCAAGAATACTGGAGTGGATTGCCATTTCCTTCTCCAATGCATGCACGCATGCTAAGTTGCATCAGTCGTGACTGATTCTTTGCGAGCCTATGGATAGCAGCCCACCAGGCTCCTCTGTCCACAGGATTCTCTAGGCAGGAATACTGGAGTGGGTTGCCATTTCCTTCTCCTGAGGATGAGATGGTTGGATGGCATCACCGACTCGATGGACCTGAGTTTGAGCAATCTCCGGGAGTTGGTGATGGACAGGGAAGTCTGGCATGCTGCAGTCCGTGGGGTGGCAAAGAGTCAGACAGGACTGAGCGACTGAACTGAACTGTTAGTATTTCGGTTAAAGAAATGGCAACCCACTCCAGTATTTTTGCCTGAAGAATCCCATGGACAGTGGAGCAGGCTGCACTGCCCATGGGGTCGCAAGAGTGGGACACGACTTAGCCACTAAACCACCACCACCACCAAACAGGATAAACTCCTTCTCCTCTGGTTCGTCGGAGATCCTCAGATCTAACCTAAAATACCTCTGGGCAAGGAAAGGACCAGGGATCCAAGAGGCAATCACACAGGACCCCACCTGAGGTCATATCTTTCCTTGATCCCTTACAGGAGTGAAGACAAATGGGATGTTGATTCCCTGGTTCAGAGGGTCCATCCTCTCAGCACAACATTGCTTCACCTCCAGAGGAGGTGGAGACATTTCAGAGGTTCCCTAACTTCACGGCGCGGAGACTTCTGGGAAACAGAGTCTTGCTATTTGTCCGGCTCCCGGAGGCGGGCCCCGGTGCCCGGACTTCCGGCATCCCCCTGCGTTGGGGCTCCGCGTTCTGTGTGCGTGTTCGCGCACGCGCACCGGCGCTGTCGCTTCCTGTCGCTGGCCCGGTCACCGCTTGCCCTAGTTCCCAGGCTTTGGCCTCCGGCGGGCGGGGATTCCGGGGCCTGCGGGGCTGGAACGCCGTCCGGCAGGGCCGGCATCCAGCGGACGGGGGCTGTGCACGCGAGGGTTCTCGCGGGCCGGGCGGAGGTTGGAGCCGAGACCCCGGAGCTCGAGCCCCGCAGCCCCTGGGCTGGGTCGGAGAGGTCGGGAGGGCGGCGGCGACGGCTAAGGAGCGGCGGGGCCCTGTCCGGACCGTCTGCATCACACGAGACGGTGAAGCCTCGGGAACGACGTTGGCCTGAAGGGAGTTTGTCCCATAGGCCCAGACCTGGCTCCTCGGGCCCAGCGGCCTCGGGAGGCGGAGAGGAGGGACTCGGCGAGAGCAGCGCGCCTGAGGAGCAGCTCCCGGACGTAGCCTGGGGAGCCCGGGGCCAGTCAGCGAGTCCCGAAGAGGTAGGTGGTGCGTCTGCGGCCTCCAGGCGGCTGTTGATCTTGCGCCCCTCTGAGAGCAGGGCTTGGGGAGCCCGCTCCGGACCCCACGAGAGAGCGACTGGGAAGGTTTGACCGCTTTGCGGGGGTTGAGGGGCCGGGCTGGAGGGCAGGACCGGCTGCTCCGATTGGGCTCCCCCGGGGCTTGTGAGTTCTGGGTGTCTTGGGGCAGTGGGGGTCCAGGCTTGGCCCTGACGTGCTGCATCCACCCCTCCTTCCATCCCCGAGGCTCCTTCTCCTCTTCCTCTCGCCTTGCGATCCTGCACGTGTCTCTCAAGACTCATCAGCACTTTGTTCTGTAATCTAAGCCTTCGCTGACACGCCACGCCCCCCTCCTCCGCGGGTTCTGCCGGGTGGACTGGCACCGGGTAGTTAGTGCGGGATGAGTCTTCGAGGCGTCTGTCCTGCTGCCTCAGTTGAGGGAGGAGGTGATTGGGCCTGAGAAGGGAGGTGACTTGTCCCAGTCACTGGGTCTGCAGATGGGATCGTTATTAAGATCAGACTCCTAGGGCAAGTGCTCTGTCAGTTTCTTAATAAGAGTTCTTATTTGAGCATTGCGATTAAGTTTGTACAAATAATTGAAAGGCTGAGCCGCGCCTGAGTGTATCGCGTTAGCCAGAGCATCCTCTGGATTTTCTGATCTTAACAGAGTTAGTAAGAAAAGAAAACTGTAACTGTTTATTTTTATTATTTTATATTTAATGATGGAAGTTTATTTTAATAGGATTCGATGTTCATCCACTGATGAAAAAGTGTTTTCCCCGCAGTACTGTAATCACGTGGGAGTTACAGGCCTGTGGGTGGGTACTCAGTCTTTGTTCTTCCAAGCCCTACTGGAAAGTGAAAGGGCGGGTTTCCCACAAGTGTCTAGTGAAGTGCTGGGCAGGGCTTGTTCACACTAGCTCTTCCTGGGTCGCTTCACTACCTGCATTTCCTCCTTCAGCTCCGCCTCAGCTTTCACAGTGCTGCAGGTTGTTCCAAGAGCAGCGGAAAATGAATCAATCTCTGGTGAGTTTTGCTGTTTACTTATTTACTCCCTACTCTGCTTTGTAGGCTTACCTCATGGCTCAGATTGTAACGAATCTGCCTGCAATGTAGGAGACCCGGGTTCAGTCCTTGGGTCAAGAAGATCCCCTGGAGAAGGAATGGCAACCCACTCCAGTATTCTTGCCTGGAGAATTCCATGGATAGAGAAGCGTGGATTGACTCCAAAGAACGGCTAGCACTTTCACTGATTTGTAATAACATTTTAGGAGGCCCGATAGCTTGGAATTTAAAATGGAAAAGTAGGAATAGGTGAAAGATAGGGTTAGACAAAGCATAGAGAGCAGGTCAGCACCAAGTGTTTCTGGCAAGTTCTATGTGTAGATCCCAGGATCCTCCAGAGTTCTTAAAGCCACAGAACAAGCCTCAAGTTCTTGACATTCATGGCAAACAATGACAAACACCATCTATTGCTTGCCTTACATTGTCTTTCCCAAACACTTTTATCCCTGAGTGTTAACGGTTTTCTTGGTATGATATGTGGTTGGGGGTGGGTGGGGGAATCGCGTCAGTGGGACTTGAGGCTCCAGCTGGATGGCAGGCAGGCAAGGGGGAGGCCTCAGTGAGTTCCCACTGCTGCGGTCCTGGGCCCGTTAGTAGTGCACATCCATACCCGTGGGTTTTTTCTTAGTCATGAGTGAGGTTGAGAACGTTCAATAGGTTTAGAAGCTGTTTCTTCTTTTTAATTGATAGACTTTTTAGAACAGTTTTAGGTTTGCGGGGAAATTGAGCTGACAGTACAGAGTTCCCTATAACTGTCCCCCTTGGTTTCCTCCAATGTTATCATCTCACACTTGTGTGGTGCATCCTCTGAATTGTTGATACCTTATTATCACCTGGAGTCCATAGTTTACATTAGGGGTCACTCTGTGTGTTCAGGTCTTGACAAATGTGTAGTGAATGGCCTGCAGCCACCAATGAAGTACAGTATACAACTGCTTTGCTGCCAGAAACAATCCTGGGCACCTCCTGTTTGCCTCTCCGTCTGCCCCCAGCCCCCAACAGCTGCTCATTTATTACTGTCAATGTATTTTTGTCTTTTACAGAATGTCACGTAGTTGGGATAGTACGGTATGTGGTCTTTTCAGACTGGTGTGCTTCTCTTTTTATATGAAGGGCCTGTTCTTGTCCACAGTCCATCTTCCTGTCTCAGTACTGATTTGTTTTGCTTCTCTTATTGACTAACAGAGTAGCCTTAAGTATTTATAAATGTTTCCAGTTGGAGTCATGTTAGCATTGTTTTCCAAGTTTTTTTTGTCTTTTTACTTGATTTTCCAGCAATAGCATATAATTCTTTAATTTTTTTCATTTTGAGAGGCTGAATAGTATTCATTTAAAAAAATGTCTCAAAAACTTCTCAAAATCACAAGATTCCTAGTCTTATCAACGCAAGTGGATAAGAGCACCCTCCTTGGTCAGTACTGAAGTACAACTTCTTTCAAGGAGGTGGGTGGAGGTGAGGTGGGAGGAATTCATTGGTCTTCTTTTCTGGTTCTTACTTTTTCTTTCTGGTTCTGGGCACTGCGTCAGCCACTCTCTCGCACTTGGTAAAGACTTTTAATGTGTGAACGTGTGGACCCCCCAGTTCTCAGGGGGCGGACACAGGTATGTCTGGTGATGTCTAGATGGAGTATGGGCTGAGTTCTGGAAGATTTGCCGTTGCTCTCTGAGACAGGTTTCTCCAGGCGAGACCAGGGCAGTGCTGCACAGGCCTCTGTCTGCCTTGGGCAGTGCCTGCTTCTACTGGTGTGTTCCATTGAGAGCAGAGCACCTTCAGCCTCGGCAGACCAGCAAAGTCGGGGTCCCCGTCACCTCTGCATGTAGAGCCCGGGGACAGGGGCCATCCTGCCTCTTCGATTGTTCCACGTGAAGAACTTTGATTTTCAGTCAACATCAGGAGTTCATCGTTTTCTCTGATAGGCCCTGAACTTGACGAGGTCGTTTCCTTAACCTCCTCCTAAACACTGCTGTCTCCATGTTCTGTTGAGAGCTGCTGCTGCTGCTAAGTTGCTTCAGTCATGTCCAACTCTGTGCGACCCCATAGACGGCAGCCCACCAGGCTCCACCATCCCTGGGATTCTCTAGGCAAGAATACTAGAGTGGGTTGCTGTTGCCTTCTCCGTCTGTTGAGAGCACCTGAACCTTATTGGTTTTAACACACTGGCACTGTTTTGTAATCTTTTCTGGGCAACTGCATAAATTTAACAGACCCATTACGTTTAGTTATTTAAGTTTACTTCTGTGTTTTCTGATTCATTCTGATTTGCAGAGTGATGAGATACACAGTAGATAAACAACAATAATAGCAGGTATTGAAAAGCATGTTATGTCCAAAGAACTGTGTTAAGTGCTTTCCATGAAAGAACCTGTTTGGTACTGATCTGTATCATGTGACAGGCACCATTATTGTCTCTATTCTAGAGGTGATGGTACAGGAGGAAACAGGCTGTAATGACTGTGTGAGTGTGAGTGTTTGTGAATTTACTCAGAAGATCCGCACTCACAGGTCTGGGTGTGGCAGTTTCCGGTTCTGTTGTGCGCTCTGTGCCCCTCATCAGGAGTAAGTGAGCTCCTTCCCTGGAAGGTATTGGGGGATGAAGGGATTCCAAGTCCCTGGCTGGGCATTAGGGTGGGATGAACCAAGCTATTTCCAGTAGTTTGGGGAGCAGGCTGGGGTCGGGTCGAGGCAGGCTTATCTCTGTAGTGAAATACGGAACTGGGATGTGCTGCCTGGCTTGCTCATCACCTTGGTAACTGTGGTGAATACTACAGCTCGGTTCCTTCTGTGAGCTGTAGGAGGAGCTCAGGGCAAGAACAGAAGAGAAGCTTGGGCTAGTGATATACATTGGGAAATGTTGAAATGTAGAAGGTTATTCATGCCTGGAGAATCCCCATGGGCAGAGGAACCTGGGAGTCTACAGTTCATGGGGTCGCAAAGAGTTGGACACGACTGAGTGGCTAAATGCAGCACAGCACAGCACAGGTTATTAAAGCCATGAGGCAAGATGGGATCACCATCAGAGCAAAGGGTACAAGAAAAGAACCGAGCCCCAGGGCCCTGTGATGCCTTGAGGATGACTCAGAGGAGAGGAGGAGCCAGGGAAGGAGCGGCCGGGGAGGACAGAGGAGAACCAGCCAACGTCATTAATGCTCCGGAAGCAGAATGAAGGAGTGCGGTGCCTCTCGGGTTTGCACACTGCCCTCAGGCCTGTCTGCTGGTCTTGTCCTCAGGACTGTTCCTGGCTCACAGTGCAAGGCTGTATTTTCTTTTTTTCCTGTACATTGAGCAAACTCATGGCGGTGTTTAATATTTACTTTCCTTCCGTAAGGCCCGTAACATAGAAAAGGTACACAGTGTACATTTGACCAGTGAGCTTGGTAAGCTCTTGTCCCCGTCTATCTGCTCCATGTCACCCAGTCCCCACTATGGTGCCATTACAGGGGTCAGTGTCATTCAGGGACGTGGCCGTGGACTTCACGCAGGAAGAGTGGCAGCACCTAGACCCCGAGCAGAAGACGACCTACAGGGATGTGATGCTGGAGAACTACAGCCACCTCATCTCTGTGGGTGAGGAGAGAGATAAACTAGATTTCCCTCTAACTTAATGATTTTAACGTTGAACTTGTGGGCTTCCCAGGCGGCACAGTGGTAAAAGAATCCACCTGCCAATGCAGGAGATGTAAGAGATTCAGGTTCAATCTTAGAAAACTGAATTGGGTTGGGAAGATCCCCTGGAGTAGGAAATGGAAACCCACTGCAGTATTCTTGCTTGGAAAGTCCCATGGACAGAGGAACCTGGCAGTCTGCAGTCCATGGGGTTGCCTAGAGTCAGCTGACCGAGCATATACACACACAGACACACGCACTTTAAACTTGATGGAACAGCTGGAATCATCTGGGGTACCAGGTAGGCCATGTGGTCTCTCTCCAGGTAGGTTCTGATTCTGGTACAGCTCTAATGCCACTTCCGTCCTGTAGCTTGTAAGCCAGCCTTTTGCTTACATGACAAATCTGGAAGCCCAGCAGCCAAGTTCAAGTTCTCTCTTGTATCTGTTAACAGGGTGTCACATTATCAAACCGGAAGTCATCACCAAATTGGAGCAAGGAGAAGAGCCGTGGGTGGTGGAAGGAGAATTCCTGCTTCAGAGTCGCCCAGGTGTGTGAGGGGGTTGGCAGTAAGGAGGGTGGTCACTCAGGAGTGTTTTTCCCTGGAGCTTTTGAGTGGTGCCAAACCTGGGAAGTGACTGAGGGTTGCTCTTGAACTCCGGCAACTCGAATCTCACTCCCTGAGGCTTTTTCCTTTCCCACAGCAGTTTATGTTGGTAGAGCTTCCCACTCTGGCTTCTGCTGTGAACCAAAACCTGCTCGCTTCCTTCCTCCTCTTAAAACCCACAACTTCTTATGGCATTTTGTTGGCAGGCATATATATTGTCTGTCATTAGAGAATAACTCCTGACTCTCCGTGTTCTCATTAGTTTCCTTCTTTTTTCTTTCCCATGAAATGCCTCAGGCTTGTTTCTGTCCCTGGCTTCACGTCTCACTTCTCTTTCTTTGAGGTCAGAGTTCACACCCCCATCTTGTGCATAAACCAGTGAACTTAGTTCACCTGTGCTGTCCTGATCACAGGCACTGGTCATTCCTGCTGGAGTTTGGTGATAGCATTACAGGGTCTCCCTATTCCATCAGATGCTCACTTTCATCTTGTCTCTTACTTTCTGTTCTGTCGGCAGTACCTTGAATCATGTCTTGTCTGAGCAGGTGTTCAGTCAAGTAGGAGACAGAGAAACGAGTCCTGATTAATTTACCACCCCCACCTTGCCCCCTCCAGAAACATCCCTGAAGGGTCTGCCTCACCCTCTGGTGGTTTATTCCCCAAGTTCTTCAGAAGGTCCTCCCATCTCGGATATTTAAGGCTTTTATGTGTCTCATGCTGCTGTGTCTACCAGTTCCTGGTTTGGTGTTTCCTGAGAGAGCTAGAGGCGCTCCTACATTCTCATTGGATTTGCAAGATGTGTTCCCCTGACTTTTGAATCCATCTTATCACTCGTCTCACAGGATGAGCCTACAGCCATTCCCTGTTGATTCTTAAAGGCAGTTTAAATTCCTCTTCCTTTCAGAATCATACAATTTTGTTCCTTTGTTGCCCGGAAATTTTAATTTTGTATTGTTTCCTGAAACTCTGGCTAAACTTCATTTGGTCCACACTTCTAAAGGTCTCTTCTGTTTCACTGAGGTATGGGTTATTTGTCCAGATTACACATTCTTTAAGTCTGAACTCAAGTATTCAACCCCTCCTTAAAGCTGTAAAACCCCTTTCAGCTGTAATCATCATACCAGTCTCTTCCTTCCCTCGACTTTGACTCCATCTCAGGGTGATGCTTTAGAAAAAAAATCAAGGTCTGATCAAGAAGTCTGTTGACTGTGTTTTTTGCTTGAGCTTCTCCACCCACCCTCCTCAAGTTTTGATAGATTCTGAGGAAACCTATCTTTTCTCAGGTTTTTGCCTCAGGAAAGATTGATTTTGAGTAGATCAAAGGCTGGAAGTCAGGCAAATTTAGTAAAACAACAGGAGCAGAGACTTGCAGTGGAATATAAGCTGGGGCATAGTTGGTACCAGACCATCTCAGTGTAGGTGGTAGCACCTTAGACTGTGCTCTGTGTCTCCACGCAATATGAGGGGACTTGGTGTGAAGTGGAGACTTGCCTCTTGTGCACCGAGTCCTCCTGGTCCTTGTGCAGCAGCTAAGCTCATTGCTGCCCCGTCAGTTGACCTGTTTGCTCTGAGCCCTTTCATATCTAAGAATCAGGCATTTATCCAGCATCCTCTGTCTTCAGATCATTACTCCATGTTTTTATTTTACCTTCTGTACCCAGTTTTGAACAAAATTTTGAAATATCAATGTGTGCATGTACTCAGTCATGTCTGACTCTTTGCAAGCCCATGGACTGCAGCCTGCCAGGCTCCTCTGTCCATGGGATTTCCCAGGTAAGCGTACTGGAGTGGGTTGCCATTTCCTCCTCCGGGGGATCTTCCTGACCCAGGGATCAGACCTGTATCTCCTGCACTGCAGGTGGATTCTTTACCACTTGTTTTTATCAGCTTTCTTCACCACTGGAGATCGTGGAGCTTGTGTGTATGCATGTGCATGTTTATTTCAAACCAAAATAATAAGGGGGAAAAATACACTTGGAATGGTTTTCACCTGTCCAAGAAGCTAGCACCTGTGCCACAATGAAATGGTTGTGTACAAGTCACATGTCATTTCTTACCCAGGAAGTTGCATAAAAATTGGTTAATCTTGCCTCTTTTTAGAAGAAGTCTGGAAAGTTCATGATCTGATGGAGGGAAGCCAGGAAAATGAAGACAAACATTCAAGGCAAACTGAATCCATTAACAACAAAACCCTGCCTGAAGGGAGAGGTAATGGTCTTGGTAAGACTTGTAATGTGGAAACAAGCCCTGTTCCTTCAAGAAAAATATCCTATCAGTGTGACTCATGTGAAAAGAGTTTAAAGTCTATTTCAGAATATATTAGTAGTGATGGCAGCTATGCAAGAATGAAACCTGATGAATGTAGTGCTTGTGGAAGATCACTTCTCCATGTGAAGCTTGAAAAAACTCATCTCGGAGATAAACCTTATGAATTTAACCAAAATGGGGAGGCTTATGCTCTAAATGGAGAAAGTATTTATCAGAACATTCACATTTTGGAGAAACCCTTTGAATATATCGAATGCCAGAAAGCCTTTCAGAAGGATGCAGTGTTTGCTAACCACATAGAGGAGAAGCCCTACAAGTGGAACGAATCTGAAATAGCCTTTCTCCAAATGTCAAACCTCAGTGTGCACCCAACAACTCATTTGGAAATGAAACCCTATGAGTGCAACGCATGTGGGAAATCCTTCTGTAAAAAGTCCAAGTTTATTATCCACCAGAGGACTCACACAGGAGAGAAACCTTATGAATGTAATCAGTGTGGGAAATCCTTCTGCCAGAAGGGCACCCTCACTGTCCATCAGCGAACACACACAGGGGAGAAGCCCTATGAATGTACCGAATGCGGGAAAACCTTCTATCAGAAGTTACACCTCATTCAACACCAGAGAACTCACTCAGGAGAGAAGCCCTATGAATGTAGCTACTGTGGAAAAGCCTTTTGCCAGAAGACACACCTCACACAGCACCAGAGAACACATTCGGGAGAGAGACCCTACGTTTGTCATGACTGTGGAAAAACCTTCTCCCAGAAGTCAGCCCTTAATGACCACCAGAAAATTCACACAGGCGTGAAACTCTACAAGTGCAACGAGTGTGGGAAGTGCTTCTGCCGCAAGTCTACCCTCACCACACACCAGAGGACACACACGGGAGAGAAGCCCTATGAGTGTAACGAGTGTGGGAAGTTCTTCTCTCGGCTGTCATATCTCACTGTGCATTACAGAACTCATTCAGGAGAGAAGCCCTATGAATGTAACGAGTGTGGGAAAACCTTCTACCTGAACTCAGCCCTCATGAGACACCAGAGAGTCCACACAGGAGAGAAGCCCTATGAGTGCAATGAGTGTGGAAAGTTATTCTCCCAGTTGTCGTACCTCACGATACATCACAGAACTCACTCAGGAGTGAAGCCCTACGAATGTAACGAATGTGGGAAGACCTTCTACCAGAATTCCGCCCTTTGTAGACACCGGAGGATACATAAAGGAGAGAAGCCGTATGAATGTTACATATGTGGGAAGTTCTTCTCACAGATGTCATACCTCACAATACATCACAGAATTCATTCAGGAGAGAAGCCTTACGAATGTAATGAATGTGGGAAAACCTTCTGCCAGAATTCAGCCCTTAACAGACACCAGAGGACACACACAGGAGAGAAAGCCTATGAGTGCTATGAGTGTGGCAAATTCTTCTCTCAGATGTCATATCTCACTATACATCATCGAATTCATTCAGGAGAGAAACCTTTTGAATGTAATGAATGTGGAAAAGCCTTCTCTCGGATGTCATACCTCACTGTACATTACAGAACTCACTCAGGAGAGAAGCCATATGAATGTACTGAATGTGGGAAAAAATTCTACCACAAATCAGCCTTCAACAGCCATCAGAGAATTCACAGGAGAGGGAACATGAATGTCCTTGATGTGGGAAGGCTTCTCTGAAGTCAGATCTCTTATAATGTCGCAGAACCCTCTCCATATAATGAATAAGGAACTCCTACCATCCCGAGTTGGAGAGTTCACACAGGTGGGTGTGGACAAACCTGTGAGTATTTGTCAGACTTGGAACCTGAAAGTTTGCAGGTTGGAAACCACAGCTGTAACTAGGCCACATGACATGCTGACAGGAGTAAAAATCTATCAGTATTTAAATTGGACATAGTTTCACTATGAATTCAAACTTTTACATATCAGGGAATTCAGACCAAGGGGATATCTTTCAAGGAACGTGGAAAACATTCTGCTGGAAATTATGAAACTAAAATTTATGTTTCTGATAAAATGTCAAGCTTTTGTAAAAAAAAGAAAGAAACCAGAGAGGATGGATGTTTTGAATAAACATGCTCCTTATGTACATAGAAATTGTAAAATCGTTGGGTAGCTAATTAAGATGGCAGCATGGCAACATTAAGCTCACACGAGTGGATCCTGAGGGTGCAGGACTCATGCTCTTGAGGGTGTTTGGGTGCTTCTGTTTGTTTTTTCGGATGCTGCATTACAGGGGTTGTATGTTCGGCTTGAATCATGTTTGAAAAGGCATTGTATCCTTATTAGAATAATTTCTAAGGTATTTTAAATAGCACCACTATGCTAGCATCTAAATACATATAGATAATGAACTAGTATTTGAAAGATATGAAGTATACTTCTCTTTGTGCTCTTCCCTGGCATTTAAAATTGGATTTTATCATTGTTAATGAATTAAGTCTTCCATAAGGAAGCCAATGTTTTTAATAGTGTTTTAACTGTATCTGAATCAGCAAGATAAAAATCTGTGCATAAAATAGAAAATTGCATAGATAATTTAAAATGGTTAATGCCACAAGTCTCTGCAGTAAGCGACAGCTGTAGGACTCATTGCGATCAGTATGGTTTAAAAAATGTACTTAAAATAGTCTCATTTTAGTCTATTTTTTTCACTTACTGTTTTTTATTTAGATGCCTTTGTAAGTGTGCAGAGCACATGTACTATGTAACCTAGAAATTAACTGTATTTTTATTTGATACAGTGGTGTTTTTAAGCACCATAGTTTGTTCCTTCCTGAATGGATTGAGAGCAGGTTTGTACGGGTTGTAGCTGGTGTTGCTGAGTGACCAACCTAGTCACTCATTCCTTGTTTTTGGCTGCCTGAGTCTGGGTATCTATTCCTCTTGACGGAACAGGGGATAAATCCTGATTAGTTTCAACAAATAATGATAATCCCTTTCTCATCACCAGTAACTGGTTTAGAGTATTCGGAGGACCCCATTCTAGACAGGTAAAGGAAATATCTTGAGCAGGTTATTTCTGGAAAAGGTTTCTTCAAAGCTTCAAGGAATCATGCCAGGTGAAGTGGGATCCTGTTCAACGTTTCCTTGCCTGGCTGTGTCTTTCAACAATGGTTATAATTTGTGCATGGCAGAACAGAAAGACGGGAAGAACCTGGGACCTGGATGATGCTCTTGAGCCACTGAACCAGCCAGCTGTGTAGCCACTCTATCTCTGGACTATTTCTTTTGTGAAAAACTGAATTGTAGATTGATTTAGGTTACTTCTAGTGATAACTAAAAATACAGAGCTTGTAGGAGTTATGCAATTGAGAAGTGGGCTTTAGGCAAATCACTTTTTTTGAGGTGTTGATACAGAGAAGATCTTATTTTCTGTAAATTTTGGTGTAAATATTACACTCAAATATTTGAGTATTAGAAAACTTGAAACAATTCAATGTGTATGTTTTCCTCAATTTTTACATTACTGACCTAAGAACTTTTGGAGCCTGATATGTCAGGTGTATCTTTCTTTCCATAATGCATGACATAAATTTTGATGTAGGTTAATTTATGTTATCCATGGGTCACTGCTACCATGTTGTTGATGATATATGGCTAAGGTAAGGACTCACTTTTGTTTCTTTTCCAGTGATTAGCCTGATAGCCTGTATTATTTGAGTCATCCACCCCTTTCTGCAGAGATGAGATGCTATGTTTCTCATGTGTTTCTGTCACTCATGGCTCCCATTTTTGTTGCTCATCACTTTTCTATCAGATTTGTCTAGATGATCTTGAGTCTGCTATATAACAGGTACTAAGATTCTAGTACAGTGTATAGTTTTATGTAGGAACTATATATTCATAGTATACTTGTTGAAGGTTTCCCACACTAATGGGAAGTAACTTAAGTACCCAGTATACATTTTAAGCAAAATATTCGGAAAGCTTATTAAATGATTTACCACATTCTTTTTCTGTTAGAAAGTGCCTGACACCAAAGGGCCCTATACATGTGTATGTGGCCCTCAACTGCCTCTTCAGTAATAATGGTTGTGGAATTTCTCTGTTGTTTCAGAGACACCAGTGTTTTCATACTATTACATCTCTGAAATAGTGTAATACATTCTAATTTAACTGGTGTTTTTTCTTCCTTGGAGGTACTTAAAATAATGGTTTGTCTTGTATTTGATGGATGGAATGCAATATTTTAAAAGTTTTTAACTATTCCTGCCAAGACCTGCATTCATGAAAGAAGGCACCACGGGAGATGGCCCACTGACCCATCCAGCAGCAAGGAGTGAATGTGGAATTGGGGCAGAGCGCAAATGCTTCCTCTTTATATGCACAGTGACTTCGTCCTGTGGAACGTGAGCAGATTAGGAACTCCCAGTGGATTTCCAGGGGCTAAGCCAGGGGTTGACCCCTCCCGGCACCTACAGGTGAGAGATTCTCCAAGGTTCTCACCCCCTCCCTCTGGCCCCAGTCATCCTAGTGTTAGTGAAATGGTGGTTCATTGGTTGGCCTCTCAAACAGGTCAAAATGAAGACCATTGTTAACACCAGAGCAATATTCCGAGGCCATGGAGTGACACTCTCTTCTTTATTCCACTGCAGTGACTGGTAATGTTTCTATCCTGGTGACTGGTAATGTTTGTATCCTGCAGAAGTGTGTAAAATGATACTGACCTGGACATACCTTTTAAGTTTAATGCTCTATCATGCAGTAGTCCCCCTGTTTATAAACCCCTGAGAAGTTCTATACACAAGAGAATGTGTACACAGGGAGTTTCACCACAGCAAGATTTTTGAGGTATCTTAGGTACCATCACTAGAAGAGGTGGGTAAAAGGTGGATCATGCATCAGGGTGGTGTCTAGCAGTCAGAAGTGTGTGTTGTACTTGCATGTAGCACATCCAATTAGCACTTCTAGATATGAATGGAAAAAATGGATGGAATGAAATTTCATACAAGTAAACAATGCTTATATCAATTAAAGTTACACACACCCTTACAGAAGTTACAATGGTGAGTGCTAAAGGTCCTGCCTTTATCAGTGAGAGCCTGTGGGGGAAGGGATGGAACTGGGGTTTGGCATGAAGAAAGAATGGGGTCCACACAGAAACCAACATTGATAACCTATGTTTTGAGCTGAGTAGTACAGTTAACATTGTGCTCAGGACGCCTCCAAAAATACTGAAGACATTAACACAGGAAAATTAAAGACCCACACTTACAATCCTCAATAATGTTTTATTCTGTTCAGTTTTAACCAGAATTTTATGGCTCAGTTGCCTAAATGACACCTGTGCCTTTTCTGGCAGAGCTGCCCAGCCAACATCCCCCTACACCTCAGGTCAGCAGCCAGTGGGTGACAACTGGTGCCCCAGGTACAGGCTGCTGGGGCAGGCAAGAATCAGACTTTATTCCCATAGAACTGGGCTGTGCATCTCACCTATTGACCAGTCTGTAAGATGGGAACAGGGCTTCCCTTTGTTTCCTGGGCTCAGAGCAGTCTTCCCAGAGGGCTGGTGCCAAAGGCATGTAAAGGCACAAGTACGGGGGGCAGCAACCTGGGGCAGGAGAACAGTCAAGGTGAGCAGCAGACATACTGAGGAGCTGGGGAAGGAAGAGGTTGGAAAACTTACTCGTGTGTGGGGACGAGAGCTTTTAAAAGCTTGCGTGTGCACACTGTATGTGCACAGGGTGGGGCGTGACTCAGAAAAGATACATAAAGTCTCTATGCACTCACCTAGCAACTGTGTAAGCTGGAAGTGAAGACTAAAGCAGAGTGGAACCAGCATGGTCAAGCACTAAAGTCATACCCAACAGAGCCAGCCTGTAGAACTAGGGGAGTGCCATCACATTGCCTCATGTTTGACTCACATTTGACCTCTGACACATTCCCATTGTTGAGTGCTTCCTTCAGTTTTGACCAAGGAGGCCCAGGCTCACCTTGCATACACTGGGTGTGACCTAGACTCGGCTCTTTCTCCCAGGAGTCCTGGTTCCTTGTAGGGGCCAGTGTTGGGAACTGACTTTGCTCACCACTCTGGGGGGTGTTACTCAGTGGATAGAGCTATGAAATATGTAATTTTTTAAAATGAATAATATTTTTCAATGCATATTTATCATCATAGGGAGGTCACATGAATTCCTTGATTTCTATGGTTGTCTTATCTCTTAAACTGGAAGTTTTGATTCCTAGTAACTTTTATAATTTATTTTAGCTTTCTCCTACAATGTACACAAAATAGATTCAAATAAACAGCATATTATCAGGAAGAAAATTGATGAGTGATTTTATAATTTTTGGCTGGCGTTTTTGTCCTTAAACACTTTCCATTAAGGATGTATAATCATAACATGAAGTGCAAAGTTTCTTCAAAGAATTACTTTTGTGTGGTCAAGTTGCCAATTTGATACTAAGTTGATTTCAATTTCAGAATCTTCTATTTTTACTTTTGAATATGTAAATCACTCATTTGTTCAAAGTTCAAAAATTCATAAAAAGGTAAAATCAAAGAAACCTTGCTTCCACCCCATCTCCACAAATAACATTCTTGGAGAACTTCTCTCCTAATGTGTTCTCTGCTGTACATAAGCTCAAGTCTTCTCCCATGAATTCACAAAGGTATGACACATTATGACTCTACACAGGAGGATTTTTCACATCTGCTGCCATTCAGGATATAT